AAAAAAAAAAAAAAAGGAAAAAGAAAAAAAAAAAAAGATAATAAAAGGGATGTAAAAAAGAAAAGGATAAGGAGGAGAGGGGGAGGGGAGGCTGAGCGAGCCCACGTCCCGCCCTCCGGGGACGCCCTGCCAGAGCGCGGCCCCGCCGGGAGCCGCCGGCAGGTCCCGCCCCCGGCACCGCCCGCCCCGGCCCGGGGCCCCCGCCCCGCCCCGCCCCGCCCGCTCGGCGGGCCCGGCCCGGCTGCCCGCGCGCGGGGGGCGTGTCAGGCGGCGGCGGCGGCGCGGGGGCTCCGGCGGCGCGGGCAGCGCGGGCGGGCGGGGGCGGCGGAGCGGAGCGGGGCAGCGCCGCGGCGGCCGCAGGTGAGACGGGGCTCGGGGCGCGGGTGGCCGCGGCCGGGAGAGTTCCCCGGGGCCAGCGCGGGATGGAACTTGACAGCGGCGGCGGTGCAGCCATTGTCTACCCAGCCCGGCCCCGGGCAGCTCCCCAGCGCAGCCCCGCTCCTGCCCCTGGGCAGCCGCCGCCCGGCTCCGGGCATCCTGCGGCGCATCCCGCCTGCCGGCGCGGCGGGGCTGCGGGCAGGGCACAGCACGGCGCGGCACGGGCGGTGGGCAGGGCGCCCGTACGCCGTACCGGGTGAACTTTGCCGCCGGAGTTGCCGACGGCCTGGGTGCTGCCTTGCCCCCTGCCAGCCTCCCCTGCTGTCCCCCGCGGCCGGGGAAGGCGGGCTGGGCTCGGCGGGGTGGGGACCGGCTGGTGCAGGGTCCGGGAGTGCTCCAGCGTCGCACCTACTCCTGCTTCCAGAGCATCCCAGAGCAGAGTTAGCGTGTCCCGGCAGCTCCGCATCTCTGCTTAGGTGGCTTGGAAGCTGTTGAGGAAACGCACAGTAGCAGAGGAGAGTTCGCTGTAGTAGTCCTGGTTATCAGTTTTTCTCCCCTCGACCTGTGGGGCAAACCTGTGCAAATCTCACTTGTTCACTTAGTTTCTCAAGGATGACGTGACAAGACCAGTTAGAAGGTTAGGAAATATTCTGCAGACAGCAGTCGTGTGCCAGGGGGGAATGGATGGGGTGAGCAAGTAAAACTTTCCTACCTTCTACCAAGTGTTCGATGACTAGAGTAGATTGGCCTGACTCTTCTCTGCTCTTATGCTTGAGAAAGGTCAGGAACTTGAAGATGGGCCACCTGTGGTGTTCTTGGTGTGTGCTGAGATCAGTAGTGTGGGTTAGGCTCTGGACTGGCCCATGTTCTCATGCTTGTACTGCTGCCTGAGCCAGTTTTCTCCCTTCCTTTCTGCTGTGCGGTCATTCCTGCCATGGCGCTAATAGGCCTTTGTATCCTTCAGGGGCTGTCTTTTAGGGGTGCAGTTCTAGCTGTTGTTCAAAGGTTAATTTCAAGTAATGGCCACGTTGTTAGTCTGGAGGTTTTTTGTTTGTTTGGAAAACCCATGGTTTAATCATTTTTAGTGGGTTATCCATCTCATGGAGCAGCTAGATGAGTCAAGTGATGTGATAGCCTAGTGATCACTAAACATTTGTAAGAGGAAGGTGCTGGAAGATGCACTTGGAGGGCGGGAGAGGGTGTAATTCTGCTATTTTGTGTGGGAATAGCCTGTGTTTGGATCGGATTACACTAACATGGAGCTGCAGACTTAGATGAACTTACTTGGGGAAATACTGTGCCTTTTCACTTTTGTATTTGGAAAGAGTTTTGCTGGATAACCCTGCTTGCTGTGGGAGACTTAAATTCTTACTGCCCTTCCGCAAAGGGAGAGTGCTTTTCTGTCCATGTCTCCAGAAGGCCTGCCTGCACAGAATTTCAGCAAAGTATTCAATGCCTCTCATGCCAGAGGTGTTTCAATAAGATTCTCTTTGTTCTAGGACCTGATTTTAATAAGATCTAGATCAATATGGAATTCTCAAAAATGCTGGAAATCTTAGGAATCAGTGGTGCTGCTTACTGAGGAAACACAGACTGGTGGAACAGAGCACCAAGTCAGAAGCCAGGTTTCCCCTGTTGCAGCTGTTGAGGGTAAGGGTGAACATTAGTTACGTTCTTTCCTTTCACTGACACTTGTGGCATCATAAATAAGGTAATTCAGGTCACTGATCTGGCAGAAAATGATGTTGAGGGTAGCTTTTCTGCAGAGTTAACAACTTGATCTAATGAGCACCAGAAGCGAGGTGAATGCTGGGAGGAATCTGAACAGGGAGGTTGAGGGTGAGCAAGGGACCATAAATTGTCTCCTAATGGCAGCTGAGCTAGTAGAGAACTTGGTGTAATATGTGTAGCTTCACTTGAATTTTAGCTCCTTTCAAAGTACCTCATTTACCCACCACGGTTTCCTTCCTTCAAAAAGTCTGTATTTGTATTCTCTGCCTTCTCAGTTTGTTTATTTTCAGGCTTCATTTAATTTTTGTCGTGTTGACTCTGGGGAAGACCTTTAAGGCAGTTGCCTCTCCAGAGCTTTTGTATTCTGGATAGTTTTGTTGCCCAACTCTTTCTAGCTGAAGTAGAGTTGTGCCTGAAGACAGTAGTGACCAGTTAGGAGGAGGTGTGTCTCAGCTGAACAGAAGGTGACTTCGGGGCAGAATTACTTATGGCCACTGCTGAAGCAGTACAGGAAGCCAGTGTTGGATCATCTCCCTGCTAATCCTGTATGTGGAAGGACTCCCTGTATGTGGAAGACAGGACTGGAGCAGCAGCTCTCTGCTTGCCAATTAAAGATTTTCCAGATTTTGAGGAGCAGGTTTGAAGCATCAATTCCTTGATTTAGCCACCCATCCTCTGCAGTGTTAATGCTGTTGCCCTACTTTAAAGTAATCTGCTGTCCTTAACAGCATATCAGAATTTAAAAAGGTCTCTGGTTGAGACTGTTGTTGCACCCTCTTTTCTGCTGCACTAGCCTGTTTGCTTATATACCGTGAAAACATTGTTTGGTGAAGGCTGTGAAGCTCAAAATCTTAAAAAAGGCTAGATAAAGGGGCTGTGCCAGTGCTCTGGGCTCCTGGAAGCTGATTTAGAGGTCTCTCATATACACTACAGAGGAGCCGTGCGGTGTTTTGGAAATAAATAGGCTGTCAGTGATAACAGGACTATCAGAAACTTTTTTTAAAATCTTACATGAAATTATAACCTTCTAAAAAGTCAGGTTTGGTTTTTTTTCCCCAGTGGAATTCTGTTGAATTATCACTTTTGCTCCCTTTTCTGACTCTAACTTCTCCTGCCACTGCTCCTGGTGTAGCTCATGTCTCTTGCTGTAGAAAACTCCCCGATCATCTCAATGCATTACTCTTCTGCTAAGTAATCTCTTCAGTCTCACTTCTCTTCCTCTTGGCTGATGAAAGCATTCTCCAGCGTTTCTCAGTCCTGCAATTCACTGCAACTTACCTTTCTGCTGCTGGAAGATCTCCCTGGTTCTGCATGACCTCTTCAGCAACTTTTGCCATACAAGTGTTGCCAGTGAACATTTCATCTGCTCGGCTTCTGACTCCATTCCTCCTGAAAGCAATTTGCCACCAGAGATGCCAACCTCTAGTCTATTATTCAAGTTAAGATCTGTCAGGAACAACAAGTAGCTAGAAAGTCCATATGATCAGAGAAAGGAAGAAAGGGTTGAGGGCTGGAGGCTAAATTAGGAGAAGGAGGGACAGAGTTGGTATATCTGTGGTAGGGCAGTGGAGTTGAGGTACTGGAGGAAGAGAGTATCAGAAGTTGCCAAAGTGCAGCGGAGGACTGGAAGCACAGTGGAATTTGCCTCTGTTCACTAGCCCCTCTTAAAGGAAGGGTGGTCAGGTCTGTAAACAAATAAGTGTCTGAATGAGCTGCAGCTGCTCCTTCACTACCTTTTTAAGATTTCATGATGCTGTAGCTTCCAAATATAGCATGGCAATAAAAATACGAGAATGTGTGCATTATGCCTCTGACTGTGGTCTTAAAAGATTTAAACTGTGATATAATTTCTGGGTGATTTCAGAACCCCAGCATCCCTGGTCCCTGTGATGTAGCAAAGCTGCACATGGAATCTGGTAATGAGATATTCCAGTAAAAAAAACTGTGTAATGTAGTGAAATACAGTTTGTTTTTTTCTGTAGCCTGACTTACTTTCTAACTCTCTCAGTGTATATCTGGAGTCCAGCTCAGCCTGAGCTCCTGGGATCCTGTCACCATGGAGACTGAAAGTGAGCAGAACTCCAACTCCACCAGCGGGAGCTCCAGTTCTGGAGGAAGCACCCGTCCTCAGATATCACAAATGTCTCTCTATGAGCGACAGGCAGTACAGGTGAGACATGGTTATGTTCTGAGATGGCAGGTGCCTCAGTGGAAGGTAGTGGTGAGCTCTCTTGTGTTCCTCTGAGTTACGTGTCCAAGTGGGAGCGTGCTCAGAGGACTGTCATGGTTTCAGATTTAGAAATTCCTACGCTAGACCTGAGTTCTTACAGCCTGAGACTTCATGTTTTATAGGTTACTCCTTCAATGTCCAGCCTCTTAGGTTTAATCTGTACTGTGATCCAATAGATTGATTTTAGCCTGCTGTTAAAGAGCAAGTCACTCAGTTTACCATCCCAGCCTGTCTATACCCTCCATATATGGGAAAACTTGTCTGCCTGTGTGACCACACACATCCTCAGATTCCTGGAGTTTATTAAACTCCTGCAAGTGTGCTTCCTGCTGTCTTGAAATACACCTGTGATTCAGTCTGTTACCAAATTTGTAACTGTACTATGGATTTTGAGGTGCTAACCTAATGCATGCTTTTTTTCTCGTGGTCTAGGGATGTTCTTATGGCTGTTACTTATTTCTTCATTGCTCTCTTCAATCATCCTTCAAGAACACACAAGTTTTGACATTGGTTTTCCTCTTTATCTAGGCCCTGCAGGCACTCCAGAGGCAGCCCAATGCAGCCCAGTACTTCCATCAGTTTATGCTCCAGCAGCAGTTTAACAGCGCCCAGCTTCACAGCCTGGCTGCTGTCCAGCAGGTGAGTTGCCAAGAGGCAGAAGAAGAAGAATTGGATCATTCCCTGGGGGAGATCCAGAAGTTATCTTCTTATGAAGTGCCTTGTGCACTGAGGTCATCCTGATCCCAGATGAGACAAGTCCTCTTGTTTAGAGTTAATACAAACAGCTAGTAAACTGGAAGCCTGATGCAAAGATTCATTTGTTTTTCAGGTACAGAGCGGGGGAAGGTAAAATTTGGCATCTCCATCAGGGAACTTGCACTTCAGAGGCCTATGACTACCCCCTGCACCTTCTTTAAATAAAAGATAGGTGGTTAAATTAGCCGTGAATGCAGTAGTGTTAAAAAACTGTATTAAAGGGAACAGTGGATTGTTACTTCTCTGAGAATAAACATTTGTGTTTAAGTGAAATTTCAGGCAGTATCCTCTGAATTTTCTGTCTTGAAACTTAGTAGCTCATGTTTTCTTTAACAGCAAGAGGGATCTGAAGTGGATCATGTCCAGCCAGGAGACTTTCTTTTTAATTGAGACATATATAGATCAATATGAATCAAGATATTTTATGATGTGTAACTATTGAATGTTTTTTTTCTTTATCAACTTTGCTCACCTACCAGACTTTATTATCAGTTGAGAATGGATTATGTGTGATGTGAATACAGTTATGTTTGTGTAACAGTATCTCAGTAGCTGAACTCCTTGACAGTTAGTCCAGGATGTAGTTGTTCATAAAATACCTACTGTAGTCTTATACTATTGAAGGAATAGAATTCTCTTGTCACTTTTGCACAAATCTTAGTTATAAAATTAACTAAACTCATACAGGGGAATTCCCATGGGATCAGAGAGGGGGAAATAAAGAAATCAATTCCACAAACCATATGTGCTGTAATCTGAAATTTTTTACCTGGAGTGCTATCATTGCATTGTTACTGAACTGCCTAGTTAACCCAGCAAATTGCAGGGAACATCTGGATATTAACAGTTGGTTTCATTATCAGGGTGAGAGTTGCAGTGTGTAGTATGACAAGCTGGGGACCAGTAGGGTGTGTATCCCTGCGTGGAAGGACTGGAGGTCTTTCACTGTCAGGCTGTGAGACTAGGTGTTCTGACAAAGCCAAATGATTGGGCTGGATTGAAAAGTTTATTCCAGGCACTCATTTCTCTGTAAATCTTTCTTTCAGGCTACAATTGCAGCCAGTAGACAGGCCAGCTCCCCCAACACTAGCACCTCTCAACAGACCACCACCACCCAGGCTTCTGTAAGTAAAACTGCTCCCTCACACATATATCAAAGCCTCCCTATTACTCCCTATGTTGTTTTTTCTTCTCTTTGTATTTAAGGATGGCACTCAGCCACACAACTTCTAATAATGCTGGGAATCCACAAGATGCAGACAACTTTGAGGATTTGGGGTGCTGTCATTATTGGTGGGGGTTAAGGAGACCAGATAAGGTTTCTGGGTGGGAGAGGCTTCTTAGCTGGAAAAGTAGACATGGATCTCTCTTTGCTGAGGCTTTGGGGATATGTTGTCATGTATTAGAAAAGGGTCAGGACTTTGGAGAAGGAGTCATGGCAGCTTGACAGGGAATCTCCTTTTGTCTTAAGCAGAGCAGTAGTTTGTTGAATGAGAGGATGTCTGTTTTGTAGCGAGTATTGAGGAGCCTGGATTTGTTTGGAGAGCAGATGAGTGGGTAGGGTAGAGAAGATTTGGTGGGTTTTCTACCTTTACTCGAGAGGCTGGAGAAAATGATGTAATTTTTTTTTGGATCTCTTATTGCAGTTGCATGCTAACAGTGATACTCAAGCTCAGCATACGAATGAGGTTAGTATCCAGGGCTTTGGCTAGTTTAGATTACATAGCCTCTAAGATGAGCCCTCTAAGACAAGAACCTTCTTCTTCTTGGTCCCCTGTGGGATACAGGAAAAAAACCTGTAAAATGTCTGTTCTGGCTATACCCCACTAAGTGAATTTGTACTTTTTTGTTGGTCTCCATGTCTTCATATATGATTTTGAACTTTTTTCTGTTCTAAGATCAACCTAGCCACCACATCAGCTGCTCAGCTGATCAGTCGGTCACAGAGCGTGAGCTCCCCCAGCGCCACAACCCTGACACAGTCTGTGCTCCTTGGGAATACCACCTCACCGCCTCTCAACCAGTCACAGGCCCAGATGTATCTTCGGGTAAGAGATGTGCATGCAAAATGTGTCCTGACCATGAAACCCACTTACTGCCCGCTTCAGTGTCTCACTGCTTGGCATTGCCATCACGTATGGACTAAGTCTAACTTTATGGATGTTGCAGTATATTTTCAAATTGTGTGGGGAAGCTCTTGTCCCTGAAACCACAAGTGTGACTCTGGGCTCTGCCTCTGAGAGTAGATGAGCTTTGTATTGTGTGACTCAGGTGAGAATGTTAACCAATGTGCATCCCTGCTCTGCATAGATGTTAAAGATCCCATAGCACTTCTCACTAGAGTGTAAATGTGAAATATATGTCCTAGACTTGAATATAGCTCACAGAAATAAAACTACTCTTCAGTGCTGGAACAGATATATGGTAAATTACTCTTCTACTGTTGTGGTGCTCAGGGATGTAAGTTTAGAAACATAAATTAATGTGAACAAATAGTAATTGTTTTAATTGCTTTAAAGTTCAACTAAATAGAAAACACTAGGTTTGACTATATAGTTAGTCTGGGGCTTGGTTACCTACTTAAAAAGTCAGCTATGTCTCAATTAACTTCAGATACAAGTTGTAATCTCCATCTTCTCAAGCAGCCCTGATCTAGAATGTATGTCTTTTATCACCATTTCCCTACCAGTCCCTGATATACATCTGAAAATTCAATGATACCCCAATTTTTTAGCCAGCCTCAGGCAGTCTGTGGGAGTTGGCCCAGGCCCATGTTTGATAGAGGAGTTCTTGTTTCCATGAGGAAACTGTTCCCAGTTTCTTGCTCCTGAGGGTTAGGTTCAGTGCTACAGTGCAAGGAGGGTTGCTGATTTTGCAGTGTGTGACATTGCAGCCCAGTGTTGCTTTGTAATCTGTTTGCTTGTGGTTCGTTGTCTGTCTTTTTCTCTTCCCCTCCATTCCTTTCATTCCACATCACCTGATCCTCAACAGCCACAGCTGGGGAACCTGTTGCAGGTAAACCGGACCCTGGGCCGCAATGTGCCTCTTGCCTCCCAACTCATCCTGATGCCCAACGGGGCTGTGGCTGCTGTCCAGCAGGAGGTACCACCCACTCAGTCTCCTGGGGTCCATGCAGACACAGACCAGGTCAGTGACACCGCCTCGCAGAGTCCCCGCTTCCCCCTGCTTTCTGTCACCCCACACTCTGGTCTTTGTCTTAAGATGTCCCTGTAAGGCAGATCATCTCTGTTTTATCCCCATGTGGGATTAATTTCTGCTGAAAATTTCTGATGTGAGCCACTAGCTGGATCAATCCCATCTTCGTAGTTTCATGACTGTGCTTATGCAAAAAGAACTGTTGAGTTCTATGTCCAGTTTTCAGTCACTCTTCAGTTTAGTGTCTTTGCCAGAGGTAGTATTCCTTCACCCAGCTGATTTTTTCTTGTAAAGATGCCAAAGGCTGAACAGGCCCCAAGGTCTTAGCTCCTGCATTCATCTGTAAGTAATTCTCTGGGTCAGGGAACTGCCATGGCTTTTCATTTACCTTGCCCTATCCCAGTCATTCTTTTGGATTTCTAGTTATTTCATATTTTTCTTGTCTGGAGCACTTTCTTTGAAGAAAAGTCAGCCATGATCAAACTTTGAAGATAACATTACATTTGGGGGTGAAGTCACTACAGAGCCTAAAGAGTCACTACTGCTTTTAGAGCCATACTAAACTGGGTCCTACCAATGCAAAGGTATGGCAGGCAGGTCTGAAGGATGTAACATGCCTCGGAGAAAGATGGTATCCTCAAATCCTGTTCACAAAGTGCCATGAGATCTTTAATTTCCATCAGAGATGGAGCAGGAGGGAGTTGAGGATAATGTGCTTCCTGGGGCAGGTCATGCCCAAGCTTTGCCCTGCAGTATTAGCCAGCTCCTCACGTGAGACTTGAGGCATCAACCTAGCCTGCACGCCAGTAGAGTGTGTTGCTCAAACTCCCAGCAAGTAATGTGTATAAAGCAAATGGATTCTGTTTTGTATGTGCGTTTCTAGGTGCAGAACTTGGCTGTGAGGAGCCAGCAGACCTCCACCACTAACACCCAGCTCCAAGGCTCTGCTCAGAAGGCAGCTCTGCCAGGAAGCTCCCAGGCTTCGGGCTTACCGCAGGCCACCAGCACAGGCCAGACCGTGGCAGTGGCTCAGGCCTCCTCTGGCACTGCAGGCCAGTCCCTCAACCTGAGCCAGGGAGCAACAGGCAGCAATGGTGTCTCCGGGGGTGTGGTGGCAAGTGGTGGGAGCCAGACCTCAATGGGACTGAGCCAGGCCTCCTCGGCAGGGGCTGCTGGCAGTTGCCAAAGGAAGGGCACAGGGGTGGTTCAGCCCTTACCGGTAGCAGCTGCTCAGGCTGTGACTGTCAGCCAGGGAAGCCAGACAGAGACAGAGAATGCAGCCACAAAGAAGGGTGAAACAGACAGCAGCGGACAACAAACAGTGGGCATGAACCTGACCAGGACTGCTACACCAGCACCCAGCCAGACCTTGATTAGCTCAGGTAAGTGCATACTGGCTTTTTCTCTTTGAGACCACTGAGTTTTCACAAGAATGACATTTGGAAACCCTGATGGTGAAAGGTTTTCCCACACACCTCCCAGCTTCTGGGCTCCCAGAAACCTCTTGTCTCAAGAGGTTATCCCTCCCTATTAGCATGAGAAGTTGATTTAGTCCCTTTTGTCCTCTGTCAGTAAGCTGACAGTCATTTTGGAGCTTAATGTTTCAAACCAATGCAGCGGCTGCCTGCCTTGCTTTTGTTGTTCCCAGCTGCACTGTTACTAACTTTTCTGCTCTGCTTTTTCTCACTCTGTGTTTGTGTAGCAACGTATACGCAGATCCAGCCACACTCACTGATCCAGCAGCAGCAGCAGATCCATCTGCAGAAGCAAGTGGTGATCCAGCAGCAGATAGCCATTCATCACCAGCAGCAGTTCCAGCACCGCCAGTCCCAGCTCCTCCACACAGCCACTCATCTTCAACTGGCCCAACAGCAGCAACAGCAGCAAGCAGCATCTCTGACCCAACAGCAGCAGCAAGCTCAGCCTCCGCAGCAGCAGGCTCCACCTCAGAACCAGCAGCAGGCTCAGACCCTTGTGGTGCAGCCTATGTTGCAGTCCCAACCCCAGCATTTGCAGCTCCAGCAGGACAGTCCTTGCCAGCCAGCCACAAAGTCACCTGTTCCAATTCAGTCAAAATCTCTGGTCACCCCCATCAAACCACCTCAGCTTGGGCCTGCCAAAATGTCAGCAACACAGCAGGCTCCACCACATATCCCAGTGCAGGTAGTGGGAACTCGGCAGCAGGGCTCAGGCCAAGCCCAAGCGCTGGGTTTGGCTCAGATTGCTGCAGCAGTGCCGACATCCCGGGGAATGCCAGCTGTAGTCCAGCCCGTTTCCCAAACCCATGCTGCTTCCCCATCATCATCTTCAGCTCCAGCATCCTCCCAGGAAGCTCCCCCTCTCACCACAGGGGTGAATTTGGCACAAGTTCAAGGCACAGCCCACATGGTGAAGAGCCCAGCTTCCTCTCCAGTTGTGGCTCAGATGCCAGCAGCATTCTACATGCAGTCTGTCCAGTTGCCAGTAAGTGATACCATTGAGAAGGAGAATAGCATATGGATTCTCTTTGTTCATTCCTAGGACACCAATCGCAGTCCAGGCCCAGGTCAGTGGGATGGGATGGGCAAGGGGTTTGGGGAAAGGGATGTGGAGACTTTTTTGCTCTCGAAAACACTAATTCCAATCCAACCCCTGGGGTTATTGACTACAAGCATTTCTCTTCCACATTATCATTCAAAGGCTTGCCCCCAAAATGGGACAGGTGTCCACATCACATACCAAATATCAGATGTGGCGTGGGTTGACCTTGGCTGACTGCTGGGTGACCACCAAGTTGATGCTCTATCACTCCTCATTCACAACAGGACATGAGGACAAAAGTACAATGAAAAGCTTGTGGGTTGAGATAAGGACGTGGAAATCACTTGCCAATTACCAACTCAGTTTAGGGAAATTAATTTACTGCCAATTAATCAGTGTAGGGTAACTGGAAATAAGAACAAATCTAAAAAATACCTGCTCCCTTCTTCACAGGCTCAGGCTTCATTCTCAACTCTTCTGCCTCCTCCCCGTGAGCAGTGCAGGAGGAGAGGAAATAGGGGTTATGGTCAGTTGTTAAGGTTTTGTCTTTTCCCCATGCTTTTCCCTTGCTGTAGCATGGGATGCCTCCCATGGGATACAGTCCTTCACAAACTTCTCCAATGTGGGCCTTTCCCTCAGGCTTCGGTTTTTCATGAACTGCTCCAGTGTGGATTCTTTTGGGTCGCAGACCCCTTGGTGTATGGTAGCAGCCACTGCCTCTAGGCCTCAGAGGATCTCCTAGCAACAGGCTGTGCAGAGGAAAACAAAGATAGTTCATGTTTCATAAGGCTTGTTTGTGCTGTTGTGAATTGATTAGGATCTGCCTAAATCCCTGGGACAACAGCACTTTGCAAGCTCAGATCATAGAATCATAAATGATTTGAGTTGGAAAGGACCTTAAAGATCATCTAGTTCCAACCCCCCTCCTGTGGCAGGGACACGGGTTGCTAGGCCAGGTTGCTCAGAGTTTCATCCAACCTGGCCTTGAACACCTCCTTAGCCAGTTTCTGAGATTGTTTCTAGACTCTGCTTCTTCAGGAAGGTATCACAAGATTTGTCTCATATTTAGAGTGGGGGCAATTCTGCTCATAGGGAACACGTGTCCCCTGCACTTTTCACTCTCCTTTGCTGAAACTGATCTGATTAAGCCAAAAGCCTGCTTGGAAATGAATGCTATTCCAATTTCATTCTTCCTGGAACAATCCTTTGAGGTTCACATATTGACTTGATATTGTACCAGTGTATCAACATGAATTGGGACACCAGATCCTAGTCTGTGGTATGGTAGTGAGTATTCTCAAGCTTTGCTCCTTGCTACGCAAATGCTTCTGAATAGAGGTACATACTGTGAAGGAGTTAGAAGCATCTCCAGAAGGAACCCAGCTGGAAATCAAGTATGATGGAGCAGGATACTTTTTTTTTTTTTCCCTTTGATCTGTCGTGTTCTTTGCTTTGGAGCTCTTCCATCTGCTTATGTGTTCCTCTTTATTCATGCAGGGCAAATCTCAGACCTTAGCAGTAAAGCGCAAAGCAGAGTCAGAGGAGGAGAAGGAGGAGTCGCCCAATGTCACTGCACTCCTGCCCGCCAGGTCCTCTCCTGTAACAGACAGCCCCAAAAACACAGAGGAGAAGAGTGGCCTTGGAGGTGAGGTACAAAGGAGAGCCCTGCTTGTGTGTGCTAATGATCTGATCTTGTATTCTGCTTGAAGTAAGTGGAGCAAAGAGAACTGACTCTTGTGCTCTTAACTTTCCAGATAATTCTGACGCTGCTGCCATTGCAACCCCAAATACCACGTCAAGTGAAGGAGCCTCAGTTCCCCCCACCTCTGCTTCCACCCCAAACCTGGCAATGGTGTCACGTCAGATTGGAGACTCCAAACCCCCACAAGCCATCGTCAAGCCTCAGATCCTCACACACATCATTGAAGGCTTTGTCATCCAGGAAGGAGCAGAGCCCTTTCCAGTAGGGATTTTTTGGTTTGGGGGGAGGGAGCTGTAGAAGCTTCTTGGGAGGATGGTGGGCTTCCATCTTTGCATAGGAATATCTTTCCCCATATTTCAACTCAGCATTTCTAGCCTGAGATGCAGACAGTGAAGGGGAAGGGAACAGAGGGAGGTTCATGAATGAATCAAGGCATTGAGAGGTGTCATTAAAGAGAACGAGTTGGAAGGAGTAAAACAAGTATTACAGCAACTGTTTACTCCAGTAGTCCCCAAAGCAATAATTTATGCAGGAATTATAAGGAGGTTCCTCTTTCTAATTTTTAGTGAGGGAAAGATGCATTTTGAACAGGCAGTGAGTAAAGTTAAAGAAATAAGGGGAAATGCAGTTACATGGAATTGCAGGCTATTCGAGGCAGATAGTATTTGGGGATCTTTGAAGGAATGGCCAAGCATCTGAGTCAGGAAGGGACTGATGACTTTGTTCAGCATGTCTCCTTCTGTATTAGGCAGAGAGATTCTTCTGAGCTGAATTTTGAACTGCATGTACTTTGCAGAGGGTGGTGAACACAGAGAATCCTTTACTATTGTGTCCAACTCATTCTCTTCCTATCCAGGTGGGTTGTTCTCAGCTGCTGAAGGAATCTGAGAAACCGCTGCAGGGAGAGGCTCCTTCTGGCCAGAATGAAAACCTGTCCAGCAATTCCCTGGGAGGGGACAGTGCTTCCATGGGTGAGTTTCAGCACCAGGAGGCCTAGCTAGTGTTACTGAAAGTTTCCACTCTCTGATACTGTATTATTAACTTTATAGGCTTGTATCTCGTCCTGCTAACTCTTAGAGACTCAAGCTATGGACCCAGAATCTCCTTGTCTTGAGTGCCAGAAGACAGTATTTTTTGTTGTTGTTAATATGATCCAACACATCCCATGCCAGTAGTAAGCAAGAGAATCTGAACTGTACCTGTCTCTGATGACTGTGAAGGATGTGTGGACAGAGCAGAGTGTGCAGCTATGGAGGTTTCCCCCACAGCCTTGTAGGATGTGAGGGATATGCTGTTTTTCACTTGTTCCATTAAATGGTACTGACAAGGAGAAAAAGCCTGCCCTGTTCAATATCCTGAAGTTCTAATTAGTGGAGCTTCTGCCTCTTTTCCCAGCTTCCTTCCCAAGCTAAGTACTTACTAGATTCAACAGAAAATAGTGCTTGGAATCAGTCTCTTGAGAAGAAGAGCATTGGAATGGAGGATCATTATGTGTGTGATCTGCTTCAGTTCAGATCATCAACTAGTGTGTATCTCTGTATCTCCCTAGAGCTTGATAAGAAGGCAAACTTGTTGAAGTGTGAATATTGTGGGAAGTACGCCCCAGCAACCCAGTTCCGTGGCTCCAAGAGGTTTTGTTCCATGACCTGTGCTAAAAGGTAATAATAGCAAGATGTAATTTTCCTTATCTCTGACAGTGCATTTTATGAAACTGGGCATGTGCTCCTTATCCAAGTAGTTTACAACACTTCAGTACATCTGAATCTCCCTCCATGGGATGTACTGGCAACAGAGATCCTTTAGGACTCTAAATGATTTGTAAATGCTTCTAGGTCCAGAGAGGTGGATGTTGAGTATAAACAGAATTTCTGGCTTGTTCAGAAAATGAAGTGGGAATGGGGAAGTTCTGGGGCTACAAAGAACCTCTCTTCAGTGAAATGTACATTTGATTGACTAAATAAATCCATACTGGTTGCTGTCTGATACATTGGTACTAGACAAAGACACAAGGGAGAATTTGGGAAAAAAATGGGGAGAAGTTAGACTAGTCATTGCTGCCTCCTGTTGATAGCAGAGTGCTTGTTATGGGTCTTTTTTCCCTTAGGGGAATGACTTAATTGACCCTTCAGATGTTAGATCAAGACTCTGGTGTCCAAATATTGCTTGTGTCAGAAGTCTGGACTGGTTCCTTCCAAGGGGAAGTCTTAAAAGGAGGAGGAACAGAACTTGATGGTAAAGAGGAGTTTTATCCCCATCTAGAGCAAGGAGAAGTATTAGGTCTAGATAGTTGCTCTTTCTTAACTGCTGCTCTGCTTCTGCTTATTTGAGGTACAATGTCAGCTGCAGCCATCAGTTTCGGCTGCAGAGAAAGAAAATGAAGGAATTCCAGGAAGCAAACTATGCTCGTGTGCGCCGACGGGGACCACGGCGCAGCAGCTCCGAAATTGCTCGAACAAAGATCCAGGGCAAGCGCCACAGGGTAAGGACACTGTCGTGTCAGGGCAGGTCTGTGTAAAATTTGTTATTGCTGGATGTACCACTTTGTCACAGTGGATGTAGTCATACAGAATGTGCTGAGTGC